GGCGACCAGGACCCCCGGGCCCGGACTCTGGCCTCGGCCTCAGTGTCCGGAGGCCCTCGGGCAAACTTCGGGTGACCTGCCGCCGGGGGTCTGGGGAGCCGGCCCGCGGGTGCCGGAGGGCGGGCGCTCCTTCTCGGGAGCCCTTTTTTTAAAATCCCCGGACCTGCTTTGCGATACTCTGGCCGTGCTGACTGCTTGGCGGTCCGTGCCTTGAGCCTCAGTTTCTTACTGTGTGCCAGAAGGGAGAGGGGTGTATGGCTTTCTAAAAACCTCCCCGGCTCTTAAAATAATCATAATAAAACTATTGGGAAGTTAAAAAAAAATAAAAGAAGATTTTACATGCCTACATGTGGGCATAGGTCTGCAGCGTGTGATAACGGTGTGTAGCTGCGCCGAGCGGGAAGATGGCACGGCCTTCATAACAAGGCAGATAGCGTCCACACGCGGCTCTGTCGGTTTCTGCCGCTGTGGCTCAAATACTGGAGACCCAGCCACCTACCTTAGGTGCAGGAGGGAAGATAAATCCTGTGGAATATGGCTGAAAATTTGGCAGTTGGAGGATTTGAGCTTATTCGTTTTAAATATATTTACTGTCCCTCTCCTTGGCCATTTTTTTCTGCTTAGGGTGAGATCAAGCCACAGGTTGACTGGGACTGTTGAAATTGCAGCGAGGGGCTTTTATTTGTGACCCCTCATGCCTTTCCAGGCCTCCACCTCTAAAATGGAGACAGTCTAATAATAGAGAGCAAAGAAATAGTATTTTCGGGGAGCTCTGATTGACTTGTTGGGTAAGATGACTTGCTCTGCAGGCCTTATTCGCTACAGGGGAGCTTTTTTTTTTTTTATTGTCAGTTAACCCGTGTATTAGGAAGGCTTTGGGGATTTTTCCCCTCTTCCTAGGTTGTAGGCCAATATTATAATCCCCCTCCAAAGACAGGACGCTCTTGTGGGTACTGTGCCATCCCTCCCAAAGGACCCACTAACCTTGGCTTCCCCTGCTCATAGGGAAGGGTCATAGTTGTTGGTGAACCTTCAGATTCAGGGGCCTGTGGAGTTCTTGAGTGTTGGCTGAAGTTTCTGTTTGTGCCCTTCGAGGGGTTTGAGAAGGAGAACCCTAGCAAACCTTAGATTTTCCAAAGAGGCCCGACACCACCTTAAGTGGCAATATCTTTAAACACACGCCCTTCCACGCGGCCTTCCCCACCCACAGCAAACCTCCTGCCCATATGGGTTGAACCAGGAAGCCTCTGATTGAGACCTAAGACCTCCCAGTAGCTTGAGGCACAGAGGCAAGCTAGGGTCAGCCGTGTGACCCGTGGCAGGTTACCTAGCCTGTCCTCTCCTGCAGTCTTCTGGTGCTAAGTGTGGATAGGAATCTAGTAGTACCTATTTCTTAGGGCTTTATGAAGATTAAATGAGATAATCCTTTAAAGTGTTAACATAGCTCGTGGCATATAAATCCTAAATAAATGGTAAGCACTCCAGGTTAATTAGCTCTCACGTCGCAGAGTTACTGGATCCTTTTTTCTCTGTCTCGCTGGACAGGGTCTTGCAGCTTCAATCCTTAGCTTAAAAGTGTGATAAGGTTTCAGTTAAGCCATCTACATGTGAATAAATGAACAAATAAAAGAAAGCTAAAGAAGATAGGTAAGTTTTTAATAAGTGACTAAAAGAACTCCATTACTTACCCCGGTTATTTTTGGTTATGTAGAATTTACTCTTGATTTATTCAGCAGATATTTATTGAGCACATACTACGTGTCAGACGGGAACGCAGGGATATCCTGATTTTTAAATAAAAGCGGAAGTTTTAACTACTATGAAGATTACTTATATAGAGAGTGTAGTAAGTGAGCAGATTCACTGAAGGAAGATTATGAGGAGATGGACTAAGTTTACAGGAGATAGACTAAGTTTCAATTCCAGTAAAGATACCGGTTGACTAGGTAAATACAGAACAGAGCACTCACGGAAGAGTGCGGCTTTTCCTCCCTAATGGTCCAAGAATTCTCCCCCCACGACGTAGCACGGTGGCAGCCAGAGACATGACAATCCTTGGAGTCCCAGAAGGAAACTGGTTTTTACGCTGGTTCTAGTTCCCACCACTCTTGACTCAAATCTCCAACCTGGCTGCTCACTCCACCCTGCCTTCACTCCCCACCTCGGGAGCCACGGGGAGGAAGCAGCCCGCCTGCCGCAGGGAACCATCTGCCCCAGAGACCTGGGCTCCTACAGGAGGCTGGCTGCCGCTCCTCCGTGTCGCTTTCCTTGAGCGGCAGAAGCCAGCGCCATGTGCCCGGGAACCTGTTCCGCTCTGCAGTAAGGGCAGCTACCGGGGCTTCCAAGGCACATACAGACCATATGGCTGCTTTGGAAAGGCTGATGGATAGTCAACAGCTCAACTTCCAGCAAAGAGTCGGGGTAGCCTCATCTGTGTCCTCACCCTTGGGCAACTGCGTGAAGGACAGTGGGGCACCCTGCCTGCCTGAGATACCAGTCACTGCTGCAGGGGTTGGATAGTTAGGTGCACCTTCGAGTTGAGCCAGTTAAGGAGGGCCCCAACAGTGAACCCAAACCACCATCTTGCTGGGAGTTGTGAGATAGTAACAGTGCCTGCCCTTTGTGAAAATTCTGCTGGGAAGTTTTTTGTTATTAGGTTTTTGCTTGGTTTTTCTTGACAGGGTTGCTATGTAGTTCAGGCTAGCATCTAACTCAGGGCAGTGTTTCTGCCTCAGCCTTCCAAATGCTGAGTTATAGGCGTGTATCTCCAAGTCTTATTTTAAGCAGCGCTCAGTTAAGCTATTGAGGTGCGCATATATCAGGTATTATCCTTGTTTTACGGCCAGTGAAACTTTCGAACAGTGAGGTCTGTGACCAGGCCAGGGCAGTAGGTGGAGGAGGGCCAGCAGCTGACCGTTTTGATTCACATCCAGTCCCCTTACCTTTAGCCGCCCAACCGTGAAGTGTGTCGTGAAAGGGGGATAGATGGTTCCATGGAAGCGGCTGGTGGAGCTGTCTTTTATTTATTGTTTGTAGTAGCTTTGTAGTCAATGTCTAAGTCCGCGCCGGTCTCAGAAAGAAATTCCCGTGCGTGGAGCGCATCTTACTGCCACAGAGACTGGAGGGTTTCATGTGGATGCTTACTTTGGGATTTGTTTTCCTGGCTGGATACTGTGGCCTTCAATCCTGTCTTTTCCTTTCTGTCCTTGGACACAGGTCTCACAGCTGGACATGGAGAACCAGCGTTCCTCGCCTCTGTCATTCTCCAGTGCTCCCCCAGAAGAAGCCCTGCACCAGGCCACGGCTGGACTCTCCCGAGACGCCCTGTTCTCGTCCCGCATCCTGCCCCCCAAAGAAGTTCCTGCTTTGTCTCCCACTGGTGCCCGGCAGGGCCCTCTGCCCCAGACCACTGCGTCCAAGCAAGAGACCTCTGGCCAAATGCCGCATGCTGCCCCGAAGGGTCCATCACTCCTCTGTCCCGCTGCTTCTGAGCAAGAGACCCATCTCCAGGGCCCCCAGGCTGCACAGGAAGAGCCCCGGTACCCTGCTGACCAGGACCTCTCCCTCCTCTCCCACTCCGCCCACCAGCAGGAAGCCCCACTGCACTCCCCAGAAGTTCCCGAGAAGGACCCTCTGAGCCTCTCCCCCACAGTTCCTGAGGCCGACATGGACCCCCTGCTGCAGAGCCCCACTTCCCAGAAGGACACACCCTTCCCAAAGGAGCAGCTGCTCCCCACGGCGGAGATCACTCGCTTGGCCGTGTGGGCTGCCGTCCAAGCGGTGGAGAGGAAACTGGAGGCCCAGGCCATGAGGCTACTGACGCTGGAGGGCAGGACAGGGACGAATGAAAAAAAGATCGCTGACTGCGAGAAGACGGCTGTAGAGTTTGCAAACCATCTGGAGAGCAAGTGGGTCGTGCTGGGTACGCTGCTGCAGGAGTACGGGCTGCTGCAGCGGCGGCTGGAGAACATGGAGAACCTGCTGAAGAACCGAAATTTCTGGATCCTGCGGCTGCCCCCGGGGAGCAATGGAGAAGTCCCCAAGGTATGCCCATCCCAACCGGGGCTTCCCAAGGGACCCACTTGAATTGAAACACGGTTTAAGAATTTAGTTTAATTGGGCTGGGAATTTAGCTCAGTGGCACAACGCCTGCCTGGCAAGCGCAAGGTCGTGAGTTCGATTCCCGGTACCGGAAAAAAAGAAAAGATTTAGTTTAATTGAAAGCAAGAAAGTTATGGTTGAGGAAAAAAAGTTAGCCAGGCATGGTGGCACAGGCCTGTTAATCCCAACACTGGGAGGCTGAGGCAGGAGGATGGCAAGTTCGAGCCCAGCCTGGACAGTTTAGTGACTTAAACCCTATCTCAATCAAAAGATGAAAATGTAAAAAGGGTTAGGGGCATAGCTCAGTGCAGAGGCCCTGGGTTCAATTCCCAGGCCTGCAAAAAAAAAAAAAATTAGAAAAATAAAATTGTGTTGGGCTGGGGATATAGCTCAGCGGCATAGTGCCCGCCTGGCAAGCTCGAGGTCCTGAGTTTAATTCCTAGACCAAAAAAGAAAAAAAGAAAGCAATTGTGGATACACATCGTCTAGGACAGACAGAAATGCCCAGGGCTCAGGACTGTCCTTGCGGGAGGGTGTTCAGGAGAGCTGTCCCTGCTGTCTAGGTCAGAAGGCAGAACGAAGGCCTGCGGGAGCACTGCAGAGGCTCTGACTCAGGTTGCGGATCCCCAGGTTCCCCCAGCTGTGTGTGGGATGTATCCCACAGAGGAAGGTCACGTCCATACTGAACACATGTGCGTGTTACTCCCTAAGCAGACCAGTGTGACGGTTTAGGTAGTGTGTATGGTGTCGTGGGTGCCACACACCGGCCGGAGGTGATCTCAGCGTATGGGAGGATGTGCGCAGGCTCTAGGCAAGAGTACTAGTGCATCCTTACAGCTATGTGTCCTCAGGTGTTGTGGAGTCCAAACCCTGCAGTAGCACGGACGGCTGTACACACGCGCAGTTCATTAGTGGTGCACTGTCAGGTAGACGGGAGAATGGGGGTCAAATGTTAGAGGATATGCCCCACTCCGCCTTCTCATGTTCACTTATAAGTTACGTTAATGCCAGGACATCTGATTTCAAGAGGTATCCTCAGTAGACTAGAGAACAGTTAGATTTTAATCCTATTTTCCAGAGGATTCTGAAGGTGCGTGAGTGTGCGTGGGTTTTTGTTCGATTTCTGTGTGCTCCTGCTGCCTTTCGCAGTGTTACATTCGGAGAAGCAGCCTGTGTCTCCAGGCTGGCCCTTCTCAACCTCCTCATGCACTTGAACCCCGCACCCTACTAAGTGCAGCCAACTCAGTAGGTCCCAGGTGGGGCCCGAGTCTGAGTTTTTTGTTTTGTTTTGTTTTGTTTTGTTTTTTTGGTTTTTTTCTCCGGTACCGGGAACCGAACTCACGACCTTGCGCTTGCCAGGCAGGCGCTTTTGCTGCTGAGCTAAATCCCCAGCCCCTGAGTCTGAGTTTCTAGTACATTCCCTGCTGATGCTGTTGCTGCTGGCCCACAGCCCGTGCTATAGAGCAGTGACAGTCGTCCTGTGAGAGCCACGAGTGGTGGTGTGCACACATAATCCCAGTACACTTGGAGGCAGGAGGATTGCAAGTTCGAGCCCCGCCTGGGCAACTTAGTGACTTAGCAAGACCTGGTCTCCAAAAAAGGCAGGGCTGTGTGTCCACATGCCGGCCCTACGTGGGTTCTATCTGCGGTAACTGAAAACAGGCAAAATAGTTATCCTGAGAGAGAGGCAAGGACCAGGCAAAGTGGACTCCCACTTCTGTGGCCAGGACAGTGGCCTGGGCTGGGGCCTGTCCCCATCCAGTCTTGAGGAGAGGTTTGAGCCGGGCTGGGGAGATTGAGCCTTAGGAGCTGGCAGCCTGCGACTGCTGTCCTTTTGGGCTGAGCCAACCTTATTGTGTGGTTTCAGGTCCCTGTCACGTTTGATGACGTCGCCGTCCACTTCTCAGAGCAGGAGTGGGGGAACCTATCCGAGTGGCAGAAGGAACTCTACAAGAACGTGATGAGGGGCAACTACGAGTCTCTGGTTTCCATGGGTAAGGACGTGGCTTGTCTCGCCAGGGCCACCTTCACGCCAGCGTGGGGTCCTTTCAGAACCCTGGGGAGTCTGAGCCCAGGACAGCAGTGGTGAAAACCGGGCAGTCAGAACAAGCACAGAGCGAACAAACAAGAACAAAGGCCCTGAGGTCACGGTATTTCCCTGTGGGCTCTTTCCTTAAAATCAGCTCGTGTAGCATCTGTTACTAAGAAAGGAAAAGAACATGGAGGAAAACCGGTGTGCTCAGTGGCCACACTCTCCCCGTAGCACACCGGGTGTCACATAAGGGTCACGTCGTGCAGCCTCACAGCTCTGCCATAGGGGCTCCTGTTTGCTTGCTCGGTGACTCTCCCTTGGTGAGCGCTGTCACGCACAGGTGCGAGCTGCGACAGGAGGTTAGGGGCCCAACCTCGGTCCCTCAGGACGCCACAATCTTGCTGAGATCTGACCCTACTGTCAGCAGGTTTTGGCTGTTACATTAACATTTAGGGACAAAAACGTGGACCAATGTACTTTATTAATACATCCTTTTTTTCCGATATGGAGAACTCTTAATGGTATACACTGAAAAAAATGAAACATTTAACATAATGTTGGGTGGAAACGTGATTTTTGCTAGATTTGTTCATGTGCACATACCTTTCCATAAGGTGTCTTTCTGTGGGACAACTTCCCTCTCCCTGTTTAAATTTGTTTCCTTTTTCTAATGCACAGATAGTTCTGAAAATGCAGGGTGACTAACAGATAGAGGAGTACCCCAGCCCTCAGCATACCTCCCCCAGAGGAAACCACCAGGAACCGTTTAGCGTCTGTGCTTCCTCATCTTTTCTGTGCGTGTGCAAACTCGGGCGGCGCACGTGCGCTGCCTCTCCCACAGGGTGGGGTTGGCACAGACAGCTTTCCAGGCCGTGGGCTGCCTTGGAAGGACAGCACGGTTTCGGGGCAAACGTCAGGCCTTTGATCTTTCAGCTGCTGATGACTGTGGTAGATTCTGTTTTGCTCACTGTTGCAAGGTGTTGTATATGGCTCTGTGTGTGCACTTACACGAGTGTCTCCCTTGCACACGTGCGGACAGACAAGTGGTGGAGTAAAGAGGGTGCACATTTGCAGTTGTGTGGCTCCCCCAGAAGGCCAAGCTGGAATTTCTGCCGCGGCGCCATTTCCCCACACGCCGGCCTGAACCCGTGTTCTTTGACTTTAAATATTTGTCCCTTTTGATGGGTGAAAAAGGACGCCTCGGTGTTTTAATATTTATTACCTTCGATGTTTAGTGAACTTAGGCATATTTTTATACATTTACTGGCTGTTAGTATTTTTCTGTGAATTACCTATTCATATCTGCATTTTTAAATTTTTAATAATTATGGAGGTTCTTTGTATACAGTGACACATACTACTCCTTTGCTGTATATAATGAATCTGTGTGTGTATAACAGGGCTACCAGGTTTCTTCATCTTTTATTTCCAAAGAACTTTAAATTTTTTTGGTTTCTCAGTGGAACCCAGGGCCTCGTACATGCCAAGCACACACTCTACCTACCATTTCACTCTTGTACTTTTTTCATGTAAGGAAACACCAGTATTTTTGTACTTTTTTCAGCTCTTGTACTTTTTTCATGTGAGGAAACTTACCAGTATTTTTGTGGCCTCTGGGTTGCATCAGGGTTAGATTTTACTACATAAAATTCCAAGTGTCATGTGCCTTTGCTCTGAAAACGCTGTTCAGGGGTTGGCACCCAGGAGCAGCACAAGACACGCACACTCGCATGTACCCCATGGGCCCCTTTCCTTTCCAACACTGCCGGTCCCCAGCTGTGGGTTACCCTGGGTCACACTCCTTCACTGACAACTTCACAGCGTGCAGGGCCACCTCATCCACAGTATGTTTTCTTTCCTTCCCTTTGCCCAGACTATGCAATTTCCAAACCAGACCTCATGTCGCAGATGGAGCGCGGAGAGAGGCCGACCATGCAGGAGCAGGAGGACTCTGAGGAGGGGGAGACCCCCACTGACCCCAGCGCTGGTGAGTGGTGAATAGGTGGCCCAGAGCCTTGCATTCTAAGTCTTTCTACACTCAGAAGGGCCCAGCATCGGCGTCACAGGCCAGGGTGGACCTGAGGGGCACGGCTGGCAGTACAAGAAGGGGGCCTGCACAGGGCCCGTGGTCACTTTTGGTCCATGTTATTGGTAAATAGGGATGTTGTGGGGTTCGTTGTCTCAGGGATGTTTTGAGATGACCCAGTATCACCTAGCTCTACAGGAAGTAAAGGAAGAGACACAAAGAAAGGCATTCAGGTGCCGTGCACAGGTGTTTAGAGCTTCCCGGGGACAGGCCGCATCCTGAGTCCTGGGCTGTTCAGGGGAAGGATCGGGACAGGTGTGGTCCTTACGGGAAGCTTCTGCAGTGCAGGACTCCAGCAGGATGGTGTTGGTGCAGGGTGTTCAGATGGCATCCACAGCCAGGCCTTGTGGCCCAAAGGTCCCTAGGCACCAGGCTGCCTGCGTCTGAACCCACCTCCTCTGCTTCCTAGCAGCACTGATCTTCTGGAGCCTCACTTTCATCACCTGTGGAGTAGAACTAGGATCCACTGTTGGGCCTGGTATGGGCTTGCGTGTTGCAGGGGTCTGGGGAGCGCAGCCGTGGTCATGCCCGGGTGCCGTCCCTTCACTGCAGCTGCACACATTCACCACTACAGCTTCTGGGGTCCAGTTAGGTTTCAGAGGCTGTGCTCTGGAATTGCCTTTGCACTTGTGCCACGTGCCTGAAAGGTCTTCAGGAAAAACATATCCTTATCCTAGGTGAGGATAGCCTGATGTCACTGCAGGTCACATCTGTCACAAAAGGCAGGCCGAGACTCAGTTTGGGGCTAACAGTCAGGTCTTGTTAGGAAGTAAGGTCATTGCTTTGGGAATCGCAGCAGGCTTTGAGGCTGTGCAGCAGGAGTGCCAGGTAATGTCATTCCATGCTCTAAGAGGAAAGGGACAGCCACTGTAGACGCACTGTCGCCACCTGTAGGGATTCGCCTAGAGATTTTTTTGTTAGTTTGTTTTTTGTTTTTTTTCTTGTACCCGGAATTGAACTCACGACCTTGCACTTGCCAGGCAAGCGCTGTGCCGCTGAGCTAAATTCCCGGCCCCTTTGCCTAGAGATTTAAATGCAAGGGAGAGTTTGATTCCCAGCACTGGAAAAAAACCTTATTAATAAATAAATAAAATAAAATAAATGCAAGGGAGATGAGCCAGGCATGGTGGCGCACGCCTGTAATCCCAGCACTCAGGAGGCTGAGGCAGGAGGATAGTTGCAAGTTCGAGGTCAGCCTAGGCTACAAAGTGAGTTAAAGAAAGTTCACAGTCTTAAATGCAAGGGAGAGGCTGACCCTGCATTCATTCTGGCAGACGAAAGTGATGCATTTCAAAGCATAGGAGGATGAGCGGCTGGAGCCGCAGTGTGGTCTATGGCAGAGTGATCTTTTGGTTGGAGAAATAGTCTGTGCCTTAAAGGTTTAGGTGGCCACATCTGAAGAAAAGGTAGAGTGGGAAGAGGTGAGAGAAGAAACAGGAAAAAAGGGGCAGGAGTGAGAAAGAAAAAGGCAGAAGATGAGAATTCGGGAGAGGTGACTCATGGTAAAAACCCTGAAACACAGCTGACATCCCAGCTGCTTTGGAGGCCCAGATGCGACTCAGCATATTCTTAGAAAGCTTGCAAGCTGGGCGTGGTGGTACATCCCATAATCCTAGCACTCTAGGAGGTTGAGGCAGGAGGATCAAAAACTTGAGACCAGCCCGAACAACTTAGGGACTTGGTGAGACTGCACCTCAAATAAAAAGGGCCGGAGATCTAGCTCAGTGTGAAGCCCCTGGCTTCGGTCATTAGTGCCCACCCCCAGAAAAAAGAGGGTTTTGATGAGGGGGCATCAATCTTTCACCTAGAGATTTCCGCATCACATCTCATGGAAGATGGGGCTCCCATGGAATGAGGTCAGAATTGAAAAGCAAATAACCCCAGCCCGCTGCCCCGGGCAGACTTTGTTCCAGCACCGCATGTCCACAGCCTGGGCTGCTGCCGGGAGGTGGAAGCCTTACAGAAGTGTCCTTGTGTGGCTGACCTGTGCCACTTTTCCAGGAGCCAGGGGACAAGGGCACTGCCACTGCACGCGGTGGGCATTGACACACACGCACCTCAGCCAGAGGTCAGTGATTGCTGGGTGTGAATCTGCAGGGGTCAGAGCCCGCGCCATACTCGCGGTGACTGTCTCGTGTGTCTTCCAGCTTGGCAGCAAGCTAGGCTGGGACATCGGGGAGAAAAGTCTAGAAAACTGAGAACTGTCGGGTCCATAAGACAGAACAGGGTTTTGAACTGGCTACGTAAGTAAGTGCGTTCAGCAAATTCTTATCAGATGGGTGGATCCCTCCAGGCAAAAGAGATCCGAAGAGGATTCAGATATCAGCTCAGCTCTCAGTGCTCAGCACAGGGTGCCATTCTCCAGGCCTGCACGGTGGTCAGAGGGCCCAGAGAAAGTGCCCATCTCCGCCCAGGACATTGGTGCCCACACAGCGAGCCAGAGGGCGCTGTACGCAGACACACCTTTCAGCATCAGCATATGTCGTTGCAGTCAGTTTAGGAAGCAATTTGAGAGGCTGGGGATACAGCTCAGTGGCACAAGCGCCTGCCAGGCAAGCGCAAGGTCCTGTGTTCGATTCCTAGTACAAAAAAAAAAAAAAAGGGAAAGAAAGCAATTTGATGCTTTGTAGATTCAACATTATTTAAAAATATCTAAAGTAGTCATACACTTGACCTAATAACTTCCTTTGAGAGAGTCTATAGCATGGAAGGTAACCCAAAATACAGACAAATGCACGCTAATCTACATCTCATCACCACGGGGCTGGGAGTGGACCTCAGTGGTAGAGCACTCATGTCGCACGTGGGAGGCCCTGGGTTCCATCCTCAGGGCTACAAAAGCAGACATGAAACTTCACACTACAATAGGCCATCTGCAGCCACCGATGTTGCATTGAAGAGATTTGGTACTGTTATGTTTCACTTACCGTTTTTAGCTCCTCAGATGGTATTTGTACTAGGTAGCACTGCGCAGAGAACTGTGCCTCAGACTTCCACCATGGCAGAGGGACCAGTGTTAGCGGCCAAGCCCCAGCATGTAAAAGCACAGCCGTGCCCTGTGGGTAGCACCCAGAGCTGCTAGACCTAAGGCACAGAGGGCCCTGCTGAGCCTGCGAGCTGGGAAAGACCTCTGTGGATGTGGAATTCTTAATGGAAACCTAGTGAACAATTAGATTCTCTTGCTCCAAGGAGGACTGACTGTAGGGAGGTGAGACAGGATACCAGGAGACCACTGGGCGCCCTTTTTGTCTTCTGGGTGAGGGACCTTGGCTTAACCTGGTGCTGGCAGGGGCTCTGCAGTGTCCAGGAAGGGCCTAGTGACTGGTAGATGTGACCAGGAGGGAGAGGGTTGACTCAGGGTCCTGATTTAAGTAACAGGAGAGGGTGGGTATGAGGCTCAGGTTAGGAAAAGCAATAAGAATTTGGTTTTGAAAACATTGGTTTGAGATTCCTATGAACATCAGGGAGCCTACTGAGAAAGCCGCTGACTAGAGTTCAAAATCAGGCCTATACCCCTAGCACTGGGAAGGCCGAGGCAGGAGGATCATTGCAAGTTCAAGGCCAGCCTGGGCTACAAAGTGAGCTCAAGGCCATCCTGAACTGTACTGGGAGACCCTGTCTCAAAAAGACAAAAACAAAAAAACAAATCAGAAGCAGGGAGTGGTGTCCCACACCTATAATCCCAGCACTCTGAGTGGCTGAGGCAGGAGGATCACAGGTTTAAATCCAGACTGGGCAACTTAGTGATTTAGGGAGACCTTGTCTCACAATACTTTAACAAGTTTTAAAAGGGAGGTAGCACCATGCAGAGGCCCTGAGGTTAATTCCCAGTACTGCAAAACAAACAACAACAACAACAAAAACATAAAAGAACAGGTCTGATCGAGAGACCTTGCCACTGGGACATTTGGGTGCTGGTGGTATAGAAAGATCAGCTTGGCCTACAGGGGAGAAGCGAGTGGACGTGGCTCTCCTCGGAGAGTCGGGATCAGGAACGTGTGGTGGGCTAGGGCCCAGCTGTCCACGTTCCTTAAAAAACTTCCGAGGCGACTCTCATGCCGCCGGTGCAGGAACCACTGATGGAGGGTTGGGAAAGGAAGCAGGAGCGAGAGGAGCAGAAGGAAGCCGAGGGTTGAGGTGGGGCCGGATGGTATCAGAAAGTAGCGACGCATTCTGCCGCAGCATGGAGTCACACGGAGCCCGGGAGGGGTCCCCTGACTCTGCCTGTCGGGAGTCACCAGGGGCCCCAGCAGGAGGGGGCGACCTGGGAGAGGCGGGGACACAGCCCGTGGGGCAGGCTCTCTGGCGCAGCCGGGAAGAGGGAGTCAGGGATGCGCGGAGGCAGCTCGTTGCTCTGACGTGGGGGTGTTTCAGGCCTGTTTGAGGTGGGGGTCCTAGTTGACAGGAGGCCGTGGTGTAGAAGTAGGACGTGCAAATATCACATGAAGCCCAAGATGCGAACAAAAAAGGAGTAGAACAGAACTGGACAGAAACATACCAAAATCATACTCATATTTCTATGTGATTGATAAAATTTTTCTGATGAGAGCAGATACTGCTTATTCAGTGAAAATATTTTTATGATTTATTTTTGTGGTACTGGGGATTGAACCTAGGGCCTCTGCACTGAGCCCTACATCCTCAGCCCTTTTTATTTTTTATTTTGAAATAAAAGGGTCTTATTTAGTTGCTCAGGTGGGACTTGAATTTAAGGTCCTCCTGCCTCTGCCTCCCAGAATGCTGCGAATACAAATAAGCACTGCGGTACCAGGCAGCACGAATACTTAAAACAGCTATACCTATAATCGGTACATTCTGGAGGTTGAGGCAAGAGGATAAGTTCAAGACCAGCTTGAGCTACATGGCGAGATCCTGTCTCAAAAACAAACAAAAATAAAAAA